GGTGTGTTTTTGACATGAGCCGTTGCGACTGGCGCGAGGTGGCGACGCATCGTGATTCTAATCTGGGTTTCCCTGTGGCCGGGCCGGCCGGAGCCTCTTCTCACGCGTCTGTCCTTCCCTCCTTTGTCTTCTCTAGAGAAACGTCTGCTCGGATCCTCTACCTGGTTTTTAACTGGGCTCTTGCCTAGGAACTGTGTGCTTAAAAGTCTAAATCATACCCACAACGCCACCGTGGACCAGCCCTTCCACCCGCCGCCAGGGAGACCCACAGGAGACCCACCAGAGAGCCCCGGATCGGCCTGGACTGAGGCCCCGGGGACGACATGAGTCAGGGCTGCTCGGCCCCTCGGCGCCCTGGAGGTGCTTCCCTCTGCACCTGTCTCCGCGCCCACCGCGGCCCCCCGCGGGCCCTGCAGCCGGGGGCAGCTTGGTCTGTCTATATGACAGTATCTGGGGCAGGAGGGGTCCCTTTGTCCCCCTGGTTGGACTGTGGTCTCAGCGAGATCCCGGTCACAAGCATAGCTTCTCTCCTCGTGTCTGCGGGGCAGAGCTCAGGGCCCTGCTCCGCCAACAGTCCAGCCTCCTGGCCGGCATCCTTGACCCGGGTGCACTCCCAGGGTCAGGCAGGCCCAGGCGGAGCTGGCCGGCGCCTCTGGGCTGGCTGTCTATGGAGGGGGAGCCAGGCGGCTTCCATGGGGCTGGTGGATGGGGCTTCCGGGGGGTGGGAGCGGGCTGAGCTGGACTGAGATGGGTGTAAGGACCCAGAGAGGGGCTATGTGTGTGTGGGGGGGCACAGAGCACTGGGGGGGCTGGGGTCGGGGCAGCACCTGGTGTATGGGGCTGCCTTGAGGCAATGGGAGGCTCTCAGAATAGGCTGGGGTGAGGCCCTGGCATGTAGGGACACTGTACGGACACCGAGGAGGGACAGCAGAGGCTGGAGCACAGAGTCCAGGGCAGGTAACAGCTGTTAGCAGCGTCTTCAGGGAGCCTGAGGCCCCTTTCATCCGCCTTTGGGCTTGCTTAGGGCCTGGTATGCGAAGACAGATGGCCCTTGGCCTGTTCCTGTCCGAGTGGACAAAACCAAGAGGGTGGTGGGTGGGGGTGGGGGTCACCCCTCCTGGGTCTGGGCTCTGAGGCTGGAAGCTGGGCTCCCTCAGCCTGGAACCAGGAAGAAGGGGCCTTGCCCTTCCGTGAGCCTGCCGTGCAGGGCGGGGTACGGTCCCTGAAGCAGGGGTGGCACCCGGGATGACTGGGTCAGCCCTTCTACAGGCCCCATACCACCCCCCTCCCCCAAGTCTCCGCAAGTGGACGGTCAATCCTGGTCACACCCCCATGCAGCCTCCAGCCTGCGACCGCCAGGGCACCTCCCATGACATCATCCCAGGGCCCTGCCGGCCCAGAGCTGTGGGCTAGCCCGGCCAGCCCTCCCGAGCCCCGGTCAGTGGACAGGTGGCTCTGAGAGAGAGCACAGGGCCAGGCTGGCCAGAAAACCTGTTCCTGGGAGTGCTTGAGCCACAGGGAGCCCCCGGAGGGCCCAGCCAGCAGTGTCTGGGTCTGAGGCTCCGGCTGAGGCCTTGACCCTGTGCGGCAGCCTGCCCAGAGTCCGAGGCTGCCCATGGTAGAGGTCATTTGGTCTCTGAGCAAACATCCATCCTCGCTGTTTCATGCCTCTGGACAGTAAAGGGCTCCTTCCCGTCCTTCGCAGTGTTCCGGCCTCACAGCGTCCGTGAACTGGGCCCTGCCTGGGTCTGGGCCTGGCTCGGACTCCGCGAGCGCCCCGTGCAGCCTGCCGGGCCTCGTGCAGCTTTCCAGCCTCAAACAGGATTTGAGGATTAGCATGGTTTTAAATTATTCCTACACCTCAGCCTTGCAGAGGGGAACCCACGTTCTCAGACGGCCGGCCCTGGGAGGGCAGGGGTAGCTCCGAGCGGCGGGCCGGCTCTCCCGACGTGTGAGAGCAAGACAATTTGGGAAGTGGGGTAGACACAGCCACCCCTGATAGTTACTTATTTATTTAAAGGTTTTGTTGTTTTCGTTGTTATTTTTAACAAGACGTTTCTAGTGTTTTAAATCTCTTTCGGACACAACTGGGGAGGGCGCTTAAGTAATAAGCAAATACATGCAAATGAGACAAAAACCATAGAGCGACGAGCCCGGGTGGTGAGTGGGGTGTGGAGCTGGGACAGAAGCACCAAGGACGGTTCCTCTGGGGACCACCTGGAAGCCAGGGGAGCCCTCCTCCGTGAGGATGCCATTGCCTGTGTCTGCACTCCCGGGACAGGGCAGGCGGCCAGATGCCGGACTGCCCACTCCGTTCCCCGCGAGCTCCTCACTGACCACGGGCTCAGCCCACCGCCCGGGACCCAGCAGGACCAGGTTCTCGGGGAGCACGAGACGGAGCCCTGTGCACGGGCCGCACCCAGCCTGCTCACCGGCCCGTCTGTGCCTCACGGTCGTTCATTCAGGAGATCTGTGTGGAGCTGGGGCTGGGCAGCGCGCATGGCCCCGGTGGGCTCAGCCAGCCTCCAGCCCAGGCCGCGGTCCCCAGAGCCAAGGGCGGGGTAGGACCTGAAGCCGGCCCGAGAGGTCATGGAGCCTGCAGGTTCGCGTCCCCCTGCCTCGCTCGCAGCCCCCTGTAGGGTTCCACATTGCAGACGTTACGGACGGAGAACTTCTTTGCAAAAGGGAGGAGGTCACCTTTCCTGCCTTTCCTCCCGTCATCTGCCGAGCTGACCCCCAACCCCAGCTGGCCGGCAGAAGCATCCTAGTCAATGACACTTGGGAGCCAGAGGACCCTGTCCAGCCTCCCCCTTGTGGCAGGGAGGGCAGTGGTAGGCCCTGGGAGCAGGGGCCCCCTGCCAGGGACAGATACCAGGGGCAGGATAGGATGGGGCAAGGGGCCATCCGGAGGCCACCACCCCCGGGATGGGTCCATGCTGGGCAGGTGTCAGCATCTCTTCCATCTGTAAGGCTGAGCAATAGTCCCTTGTACGGACAGACCCCATTTTGTTTGGCTGTTCAGGGTTCCTTGAGATGCTGCGATAAGTTTTTCTATTTCTCTAAAACATACAAGCAAACAAAACAAGCCGTGGGGGTTTGGGGAGCAACGGTGTTGCATCTGTAGATAATTCTGGGGGCGTTGGCCTCTCTGCCTCGTGCACCTGTGTGTCTCCTTCCGTTCCTTGTCCCGGTATTTTCCCGTTTTCACCCTGCAGGTCTTTGTCCTCCTTGGTTAATCCACGACTGTTTTATTCTTTTCGACACTGCTGTAAGTGGCAGCGTATTTGTCATTTCTTGGGAAGGAGGTTCGTTGGCGGTGGAGAGAGCACGATGATTCGTGTGGGCTGACTCTGTACCCAGCCTTGCGGAATTCTAGTAAGATCTGACAGGTGTGTGTGGGGGGATCCCTGGAGTTTCCTACGCATAAGGTCATATCCCCTGTGAACAGAGGGATATGACTTCTCCTTTCCAACCTGGACGTCTTTTCTTTCCTTTCCCGTCTCCTTGCTCTGGTGGGGTCACGGAGCCTGGTGTTGCACGCACAGGCGGCGGGGGTGTTCTTGCCTCACTCCTGACCGTGGAGGGGTAGTTCCTGTCCTCACTGGTGTGCTGCTTACTGTGGAGTTTCCGGATGTGGCGTGTGTTAGGTGCCGCCGGTCTCCTTGTCATCCTGACTTGTTCCCTGCTCGCGGCACAAAGTGCTGTGGCGTTTTCTCACACTTTCTCGTGTCAGTGGAGGTCATGCGTTTCTTTTCCTTCTTCCTGTGAACACGATGTGTTCTAGCGATCGATTTTCTTATGCCGAACCATCCTTGCATTCCAGACGCGAATCCCACATGGCCGTAGCATGTCTCTCTCCAGCACGCTCCGGAAGCAGCTCGGGCCCTGGGCTGGGCCCCTCTGCTCCTCGGGGCTTCCTCTGGCTTTGCTCTCAGCGGCCTGCCGGCCTCATGGGATGGGTCAGAAAGTGCTCCCTCTTCTTCCGTGTTTCAGAGAAATTCGAGGAAAACTGATGGGTTCTTCTCTGAACATTTGCTAGAATTCACCAGCAGAGCTTCAGGTCCCCGCCATTGACTGACGACGGCTTCTCTTTGATGGGAGAGCGAGGTGCCTGGTCCAGTCTCCTCACTAGCTATGGACCTAGTAAGGTTTCCCAGGTCCTTCTGAGAAACCTTGGTAGGGTTGCATCCCTTGGAACCTGTCCACTTGGCCTGGGCTGTCTGGTTTCCTTTGAACTTGATTCTTATCCCGTGTCTTCGTTTGTCCACTCACCCACCCAGCAGTCTACCCAGCAGTCCTTGTGTCCATGGCCCGTCCATCGTCCGTGGCCTGGATGTGAGCCCTCGGCGCTCTGGCTTCTGCTCCTCAGGTCGGCCTGACCGCAAACTGAAATGGGGAACCTCCGTGGCCGGAGCCCTGACTGTGGTCAGCACTGCTGAGGGGCACTGGTCCACAGCAGACCTGGTACCTGCCCTTCCTTGGAGGAGACGGCCAGAGATGGCCTCTGAGACCCTTCCCCCCCCCCCTCCTCCAGGTGCCCACCCCCACCCGACCACCCTGGGAGCTCTTGCATCTCAGCCCCAGGGAAGCCGGCCAAGCACCCCTGGATGGGGTGTCCTGGGTGGCATGGGGGCTCTGAAGCAAAACAGGGACCACTCCATGAGGACGGGTGTCCGCAGCACCCAAATCAAGATGTATGGCCTGAGCTCTGGGGACTCTGTGGTTCATGTGAGTGCTGGCCGGAGAATGTGGGCCCCAGGACACCATGTTTCTCATGTTCCTGGGGGATGGCCTTGGTGTGGACATCCCCTTGGGCCTGCTTGGTCCCTGGTCAGAAGAGCAAGCGGGTGTCTGCTGCTGGTGGACCCGGCCTCGGGCCGCTGCCCTGTCCAGGTGGGCCCTGCGATCGGTGCCCCCCACCCCCGGCAGACCAGGGCCCGGGCCGCTGCCCTCGGGCGTCTCTCATGGAGGCCCCCAGCTCACTCCCCTCTGCCCCACAGGAGATTGTCCTGGTGGTGTTCTTTGGGACGGAGTACGTGGTCCGCCTCTGGTCAGCAGGCTGCCGCAGCAAGTACGTCGGCATCTGGGGAAGGCTGCGCTTTGCCCGGAAGCCCATCTCCATCATCGGTGAGTCCTGCCTGCCCCCGGGGAGCTTCGCCCCCAGCTTCCTGGCCATGGGTTGGGCACCCTCCTCAGGAAGGGGGATCCGGCAGGGTGGGTTCCATCATGAACGCCAGCAGACAGAGGCCCCCTGAGACCACAGGGTGACCCTCTGAGCCCGGCTGTGTAGGAGGCAACCTCAGCCGCTGCTTGCGGGGCTGGCTTGGTTGCACTGGACACGGCGTTATGGAGGGTCTGCCACCCCAGCGGCCTGGGAGGTGGGCCTGGGTGTGCCTGAGACAGAGAGCCGGTCTCCCTGTCCAAGGGGCCATGTCCTCCTGACCACGAGGCTCCTTCTCCTGAGCCGGTGCCTGGCTGGGTAACATGCCATCCCTCCCCAGACCTCATCGTGGTCCTGGCCTCCATGGTGGTCCTCTGCGTGGGCTCCAAAGGGCAGGTGTTTGCTACCTCGGCCATCAGGTACAGTGGGCCACAGGCTGTCCCGGCTGGGCTGTGAGAACCGCGGGCAGCGTGCTGGGGGAGGGGGCGCAGGCTCCGACCCCACACGGACTTGGGTTTCCCCGGGTTGGAGGCCTAGCAGGAGCCCTTCTAGGACTTGGGCTGGAACCTAACCTTCTGGGGACCTCAGTCTGCTCATCTGCCAACTGGGGTGATCCCAGGGCCTCCCCTAGGAGCAGAGGAGTTTGGAGACCCCACCCCATGTTTGAGGGGGCGGTTCTGAGCCAGGCTTTGAGGGGCGGCCCCCAGGCAGGGGCTGGGGGGAGGGGCTGAGCGGGCGAGTCGGGCTCAGGGCACAGCGACGTCTCCCCCGCAGGGGCATCCGCTTCCTCCAGATCCTGCGGATGCTGCACGTGGACCGTCAGGGTGGCACCTGGAGGCTGCTGGGCTCCGTGGTTTTCATCCACCGCCAGGTGGGCGGGCTGGGTGGGGTGCAGGGGCCGGGTTGGCGGGTGGGGGCAGTACACAGCTGAGGCGGTACACAGCCTTGGCCAAGGGCAAGGAGCAGGGGGCAGAGTGTGGGGCAGAGTGCGGGATGGGGAAAGGGGCTCAGAGAGCTCAGCACCGTGGACGGGAGCCATCCTTCGAAGGCGAGGCACGATCGGAGCCTGTGCGAGCAGGCCTGTCTCTCCGGGCAATGGCCACGGCCCGACACTGGCGACGGAGGATGGGGGTGGTGGCGTGTGGTCCAAAGTCAGTGGGGGCTGGGGAACCACGCGGGAACTCATGGGGAACCATCGGGAGAGCCCGGAGCTTGCCCAGGGCCAGCCCCCGGCCTGCAATGTCCGTCCAGAGCGTGGTCATGGAGGCTGGGCCGCCATAAGGCCTCACCTGATGTGCCCTCTGCCCGCCCCGCCCCCAGGAGCTCATCACCACCTTGTACATCGGCTTCCTGGGCCTCATCTTCTCCTCGTACTTCGTGTATCTGGCTGAGAAGGATGCCGTGAACGATTCTGGCCAAGTGGAGTTTGGCAGCTACGCGGACGCCCTGTGGTGGGGGGTGGTAAGTGGGGATGCATGCCCTGGGCAGCGGCGGGACCGAAGGTGTTGGGGTCTGGGGCCCCGTGGTAGACCCTTCGTGCCCAGAGGACACTATGGGGAGGTTCTCGGTATCTCGGAACTGGCGTAACGGGTGTCTGACAGGGCAACGGGGTGTGTGCGGAGGCCGGGAGCTCCTGCCTGCCCCCAGGCTGGGCACTGTGTGGCCCGACCCAGGGCGCCAGCCATCCTTCCTTTGCTCTGGCCATGTGGGGAGGGGAGGGTCAGACACAGGGCCTGTCCAGGCGGGTCTGTGCTGGCCCCAGGAGTGTCCCTGTGCCAAAGAGCGCAATGTTAGATAGCAAATAACCCAGGATGTGGCAGGTTGAGTCCTCGAGGGAACGGAGGAGCGCTCCCCTTTCTGGACAGTGCACCAGGCTTGTAGGTGCGGTAGCTGGGCTCTGCCCCCCGAGACATGAGGGCTCCCCCGCAGGAGCCCCGAGGCTCCCCTGACTGCAGAGATGGGCTCCTTGAGCACACGACGGTGGGGCCCGGCACCCCGGCTTCACTTGTAAGTGGCCGGAGCCTGGGCTGGGTGGCTCCGGGCTTGCTGGGCTGCCAATTTGCGGGAGAAGTGGACGTAAGGTGGGCGGGTTCCCAGCAGGCCAGGCTTGTGGGAACAGGGGACATTGCACCAAGGACCGCGCTTAGCTGTGGACAGCCAGGCGTGGCCTCCGCCAGCCACACACGTCCCGAGTCTTGCCTGCATCCTTGCCGTGTGGCCCGCGGAGCAACCGCCAAGGGCATGAAAGGCGCCCGTGACCACATCCTCCACCGCAGCTCGGCCTTGTTGGGAGCAGGGTCCTGGGCACTTCTGTGCGGGGTGGCTGGTAGCTCCCCCAGCCGCAGGGACTGCGACGGGCCTGGGAACCACGTGGGCAAGGCCGTGCCGCAGCCTGGGACGGACAGCTGCTGCGGGGAGGGATGGGGTGTGGGCCACAGGCCAGGCCCTCACGCTTCCCACTTCCCTCCTTCAGAGTGCCCTGGGGTGCAGCCAGCTAGTGCCCCCGCGGGCTCTAGGACAGAGCCGGAAGCAGTGCAGTGGGAAACAGCGGAGGACAGTGGCCCCCATTACAGGCTGAGCATGACTTGGTGGGGAGCCCCTTAAAGCTGGGGGTGGGGCGGCAGACATCCGGGCTTGTGAGGGTCAGGGGGTGCAGGGACATGAGTTGTGGTGAGGTCTTGGGGGCAGGACAGAGTCTTAGGGGCACTGGGCGGGGGGTAACAGCCATGGCAGGCCCCAGCCAGGTCTGCCCCGTCTTTTCCCATCCAGAAAACATGGGCCTTGCTCTCTCCTGGGGCTTGCCACCCTCTTCCTGAAAGGAGGCCCATCCCAGTTTGACTGGGGGGGTTGGGAAGCCTTGCTGTGGCCCCCCAGGCCGGCCCACGCCCCGCTGTTTGTGTCTCATGGCTGCGAGGCCAAGCACGCAGGGAGGGCCCCGATGTTGGTGAGTCTGTGTCTTTTCTGGAAGCTTCTGGTGTGCCAGGCTGCTCGAGGAAGGGAAGGACATGCTGACCCAGCTCTGGGCTGGTTCCGGCCCTGGTTCCGGCCCCGGTTCTGGCATCTGTGAGCCCCCTCGGCCCAGGTGCGGCAGCCCCTAGCAGGTTAGGGCGGGAGGGCTCAGCCCCCCATGGGCAGCTTGCCGGTGGCGGGTGGAGGGGCCAAGTCCTGGTGACGGGCCCATGGGGGGTCAGGCTGCCCAGAACCAGGAGGAAGTGTGTGGGTGATTGCCCGAGGCCCGGCTGATAAGTGGTGCCCAGCCGTGGCGCTGCCCTCCCTGCCTTCGCGGGCAGCTCCAGGAGCGGCAGGCGGCTGAGGCTGCTCCCCTGCCCCCAGCCCTGGGCCGCGCAGCGCCCCCACTCCCACACCTGTGCAAACATCCGCCCGCCGGCCGGGAAAACAGCCCCTTTGTGCCCAGCTTGGCACCGGTGCCCCAGCCCTCGCCGTCAGCTGCAGCCCCAGCCTCGGCCACCGCGGGCCCTGGCCTGGCCATTGTTCCCGCCAGGCCCTGCGCCTCTGGGCCGCCCCGGGCCCCCCACCCCCCGGGGCTCCGGGGCAAACGGCTCCCATTCATAGCCACGGCTGCCCCTGCAGCTGTCCGGGCAGGAGCAGCCCCCAAGGCTTGAGTTATGGGCTGTGTTCCTGGCGCGTCTCGGACAGAGCTCAAGAAATGCAAGACGGGGCCGGCCCTGATTGGGGCTTTCAGGCGAGTTTGGTGATTTGCAACTGTGCCCAGTACTTGTTCTCTGCCCCTTCCCCATGTCCTGTCTCCGTTTCCCTCTCGCAGGAGGGGGCACCGGCCCCGAGGCTCCCTGCCCGGGGCAGACAGAAGAGGGGTGCTGCCCTGGGACACCCATGGGGGGTGGCAAAGGCCGCATGCCGGACCATTTCTGGTCTCCACACTGTGTCCGTCCCGGGCTTTGTTTGCGCTCCCCATGCCCCTCACCCCACAGGCCTGGGCTCGGGCAGACCAGAAGCTGGACTGGCTTCTCAGGGATGCGCAGGATAGACCCTAAAACGGGCGTCTGGGCCACCGGGAGGTGGGACAGGGCCATTGCCTGCATTGGGAGAACAGGGAAGCTGGTGCGCCGAGGCCCTAGAGCCCGTCCAGGCTGGGGTGTCTGGGGGTGGCCCCAGGTGTCCTCAGCCTCTGGGCTCAGCGGTGTCTGTGGTACGGAGAGATGACTGAGTTCACGAGCCGTGGCACCGGGGACAGCGGGGTATCTACCTCCCGGCGAGGCCGTCGGAGTCCCACAGTCTGAGGCATTTAAGACCATAGCAGCGTAGTCTCTCCCAGTCTGGAGACCAGAAGTCCAAGATGGACGTGAGGGCAGGGCCGCAGTCCCTCCGGAGGCTCCGGGGAGCGTCCTTCCTGCCTCTTCCAGCTGCCAGGGCTGCAGGCCTCCTTGGGTGTGCGACCACATCTTCTGTCTCTTGTAAGGACACTTGTCTTGGGTTTAGCGCCTGCCCGGGGAGACCAGGAGGATCTCCAGGGCGCGCTCCCCACAGCCACCTCGACAGAGGCCGTTTCCAAACACGCTCCTGCTCTGAGGGTCTGCGTGGGCGTGACGTCTGGGGGGACACGCTCAGCCCAGGATGGCGGAGTCCCAGCCAGACGTCAGAGAAGCCCCCCCACAAGCCTCAGTTCTAGGTCGTCTGACGGGGTTGTCCACTCAATGGCTGAGTGTCTCCTCTCGTCCCGCAGCCCGGGGGTGGCGCCCTGCCCCCCGCCCCCCCGGGGGTGGCGCCCCGCGCCCGGCTGCTGAGGCGTTTAAGACTTCTTCGCCCTTGGAACAAAATGCATTTGTTTGTTTAAAGTTTGAGTGGAGGGAAAAGCCGTTTTTGCAAACACGGGCTCCTCTGTTTAGCGCCCGGGGGTCTCTCAAATCCGGAGGCTGCTGGGCTCTGTTTACCCCGTGCTCTAAATTTAGTCTTTTTAGAGTGAATGTGCTGGAAGCCCGTCCCTGCATTTCAACCGCCGTTTAGAGTCTGATTCCCGTTCCCTCTCTCCTCAACCGGCAGTTCCAGAAGGGTCCAGCCTCCAGGGCTGGACTGCCTCCTGGCCGGGGGAGGTCAGCTGGGCCTGGGGCCTGAGTAAGGGCCTGGGTGAGGACAGGACCCCCCAAGACACTCACAGGGAAGCCCCGTCAGCACCACCAAGAACACAGGGCCAGTGTCAGGACCTCCTCCGTAGCTGGAACAACTGAGGCCGGTGAGCCCAGGGTGGGCAAGCCAGGACCCCACCCCAGCACTAAGACCCCACCCGTTCTGGGGCTTTCTCTGCCTGGAGCTCTCTGCAGAGCCTGTGGGTGCTGTGTGGTTGAGAACCAAAGTCTGCAGGACCCCAGCTTGTGCCTGTAGACCACCGGGTGTGGGGGAAGGACTGTGGGCTCCTCCCCTGAGAAAGGACCTTGGCGATGGGTTTTGCAGGTTGAGTAGCAGCCCACAAGGTGAGTGGGGCCTCTTGCACCTCCTGCCCACGGGCTGATACCTGGGGGGTGCGAGGGAGTTCTTCTGTGACTTGGAAGTCCCCATGTAGGTAGCAAACAGGGTTCATTTCTCCTGAGGTGGGGGTTCAGCTCGTGTCTGTGAGGGCAAGAACGTTCCAGGTTCAGCCTTTTGGGAAGAGACGTCATCAGCATGAGGGAACGCTGTGAGACAGGATTCCAGGTGACTCAGTGATCAGGAGCTCTGCCACCCACCCACCGTGTGGCCTGCACAGGTCACCTCACCTCTCCAGGCCCATTTGTAAACTCGGTAGCAAACGAGTACCCACACCCACCAAAGCTGGAGAAGTCCCGTCAGCAAGGACATGGGAAGCCTGGGGTCCCGGGCACCCAGTGAGGAGGCGACAAAGGCTGGCTGTGAACCATGGGGGGCCCTTGCCAGCCACAGCTCTCTAGGCCTTCCCCAAAGCCAGACACTTGGGTCGGACCCGTAGCAGCCTAATTCACACAAGTGTTTATGGCTGCCATGGTCTAGTCACATCCCTGAGCCCTTCTGGTTTGGAGAATCTCGCTCTGCCCCTGACCAGCTCCCCACTTCTAGCACTTTCAGCCCCTTTCAGAGCAGGTGTTTTGGCCCCTGCTGACCCCAAGGGCCTCATGTTTCTGATCCCCGTCCCGAGGACCTGGGTGAGGCCAGCCACACGGAAGGGGCTCCTGGATGCCTCAGGAGGGGTGGGGGGGATGAGGGGGGCAGACCACAGCGTCCACTTCCAAGGATGTCAACTCAGCGGCACCGTTGAACTGGTCCTGGGGCCAGTGAGCATGAGATTAGTCTGTTCCTCAGTTTCCCCATCTGTAAAACGGTGAGGCCGCAGAGTACCTCCTCGGGCTGGCGTGGGGCTCACCAGGGCCTCAGGCCCAGGAAGGCCGCAGATGAGGACTCTCCTTAGACTGTCCGGTCCTCCAGGGGAGGCCGGCTCTTGGCAGGAAAGCCTACTTCTCCACGCACAGATGTGATGGTGCGTTGCTGCTGTCCTGCCCAGCGCCGGCGCAGCGACACGGCAACAGCTCTCGTCTCCTGCTCTCGGAGCTACAGCCACGTTTTGCACAAGGTGATTTTCAGGGTCCCTGGAGGACCTTCTCTGCCCTGGCAGTCAGGGAGGGCTTCCTGAGGCGGTGACAGCGGAGACCTGAAGCGGAGTCACCTGGGGCCCAGAGCCCTGCTACAGGGTGGACACGTCAGCCTCTGTGCTGGGCTCCGGGCTGTGCACAGGAGAAGGGCAGAGGGGTCCTGGCCACCCCCTCTCTACGGCGTGCCGTCGGCAGGTCCTGTCCGAGCCCGGCCGGTGCGTGGGCCCGTGAGCCGCACGGGGCCGGGGCCGGAGCCGGAGCTCCCTGTGAGCGAGACCACAGACTCACGGAAGGAGAGGCTCCTGTCTGTGCGGGTTTGTGTTCAGGGACTTTGTTCTGCCCAAGGAAAGGAAGTCCGTTTCTTTTGGGGTGTTTGCTGTCTTTTGACCCATCGTTTGCCTGCCTGGCCAGGCGGTTCCCCAGCCCCCATGTGCCAGCATGTGTCCCCTTCGTGGCTGTTTCCTACCAGCCAGGCCAGGGCCCCCAGGGCAGCTCCATGGTGGCCGGGGCCAAGCGTACCCTCGGGACCCCTGCCCCTGCCAGTCACGGCCCGAGACCGTCCTGCCACCCTGACTGCCCCCTTTGTGTCCTCTAGGCCTCCTCCAGGCAAGTTGGTGGCCCGTGGTGGCACGGCTGTCTCTGTCCGTGTCGTGGTATGGACCAGTGGGTTGTGCCTGCTCAGTCACGTACCAGTGATACGACCTCGTGTATAGCACCTGCCCTTGTCAGCCTCAGTCTCTCCTCCATAAGCTGGTCCCTAACTCATGACACCATCCCAAGTTTGCCAAGTGGATGCACCACTGGTGTGAGTCCCTCAGTGTCTACACCAGCACTGCTGTCACACCCACATGTGGACAGATGGCCACTCTGCCTCCCGATGGGCCGGCCAACCCCCCAGGGCAGCCCCGGTTTCTGGGCTGGGCCTCCCATCTCATTGGAGGTTGGCCTTCCAGAGGCTGCTTTAGAGAGGAGCACAAAACACCGGGGCTGGCTTCTCAGGGGATGGTTCTAGAAAGTTCCTTCAACCTCCTGTCCTTCAAAACGTGAGCAAAGACACAGAGACAAGCACACACGCCAGCGCCAGCTTCCAGAGGGTGAGGACGGCTCGGTTCCCCTCCCGCCTGCCTCCACGGCCCTGTCCCCGGTGTCACACGTCTGCGGGTTTGCATGTGAGCTGGTCCGCCTGGGCCGCTAGCCACCAGGGCAGGGCCACGGGGGCTGTGCTGTGTCTCCCCACATCTTTGGGCCCAGGATGTGCAGCTCTGCACCCTGGACCACCCTGGCTGGGGGCAAGTGGCGAGCGCGGTGGCAGGAGAGGGGCTGCCCAGAGCTGCCTGAGTCTGTGATTTCAGGAAGAGCAGCAGCTCTGGGGGGATGGGCCTCTGAGAGCCAAAGGACGTCGGTAACAACGTGGGTCTGTGACCTGGTGTGAGAGGCACGTGCCCTCCGCAGGGTGAGGGATGCCTGGCTGGACACCCGGTGTCTGCCGGCCTGCTGCAGGGAGCCCTAGTACCCCAGCTGTCGTGGGGCTGGGGGGGTTGGGGTGCTGGTTGGTCTGCTCAGGGAGATGGTCTTGGGGGCCCTGCCTGTGGCCCCCCATTTGCTTCCCCGTCACCAGGTTTTTTTTAATATTCATTATGATCACTTAAAAGGTCACATGCTTAAGTTTTCTGGGATGTTCTTAAACCTAGCCCCTGAGGTGGGAGCCCCCCACCGGTGGCCCCCGCCTCACCCTGCCCAGCAGCCGCTCGCACATTTACTGGTCTCAGGTGCTTTCTGCACTCTCAGCAGTCGCCGTGGACCCCAGAGAGCCTCTGTCCATGTGGATTGTACCTATCCACGCTCAGCACGGAGGGAAGTACCCCTGAGCCATTTTAAGAAGTTTTCTTGTTTATTTATTAAAATGGCAGCAGACACGTTCTACGTTTATATAAATGAAAAGACTTTACGAACATTTTTACTTTCTCTGAATGGCTAGGTGCAGCTCTAACATCGCCCTCCTCCTTTCGCAGCCCCAGACCTGCCCTCACTCCACACGCCCGGGTGCGCTGCACAGGCAGCTGCGGCCCAGGCCTCCCATGTGGGGTGCAGGCCGTGGAAGAGGGGGCTCCAGGCTTCCCCGGGGCCTCTTACCTGCCAGCTGGTCGTCAGGCTGGCCCTCAGCCCTGGGGTGGTCTGGCCCCACCCTGCAGGCACCTGTGCCGTGGTCGGGTGTGCACGCGTGCGTGTGTGTGTGTGTGTGTGTGTGCGCGTGCGTGCGTGCGGTGCCCCAGCTGCATGGGAGGCACATCTGTGGGTCCGCACCCGCCTCCACGGGCTCAGGTATCCCATGTACAGGACAGGGCCATAGGCAGCAGCATGTGTTCCATGTTGGGGGGGTTGGATGTGTGTTTCTGAGGGTCGGTGGCCTTGTGGAAGTCCCAGGACCCCAAGCAGATGCGTGGTTAGGCTGCCGTGGGCTCAGCAGTGCCCGTCCCTGGCTGCCCCCAGCGCTAGAAGCTGAGTGCTTGCCCAGATTCACCTGCCCGCTGATGGGCTCGTTGTCCCGCCTGCCCCCTCCCCTGTCTGCTCCAGCGCTGTGAGCGGTCCCATGGGTGTCCCTGCCTGGCCGTGGCCACTGGGTCTCTCCCACCCTCTGAACTCCACGTCTGGTGGGACGTACACACCAGGGTCCTGGGATGGACAGCCACTGCCGCAGACCTCACCATGTCCTGTCTGGCCTCACCTTCCGTTGGCGTCTGTTCTGTGGGCTGCCCTGGATCTCTGTCCCCCGTTGCCCACACTGGCTCCTCGGGGGCGGGCATCGAGGGAAGGCTGTGTGCAGACCTTCCCAGGCCTACCAGTCTGTTCTCGCCTGGCCTGGCCTGGAGGCTCCAGAGGGGAGAAGCCAGGCTGCTCAGAACAGGACCCACCTAACCACGGGGCGGGCAGGTGCCACCCAGGCTCACCTCCAAAGGCAGGAAGCCACATGGATGCTCTGGGCCACTGTGCCTGCGGGTGTGAACAGGTGCCCACAGGACGTGGGACCCGGGCATCCTTGGTCTGCTGGCCAGGCTCAAAGCCCAGGCTAGCAAAGCCCACGGGCGGCCCCAGGGCCCAGCGTCTAGGCAGGCATGGGCCCGAGGACGTCGGGGCTGAGTGACGGGCACAGCCAGGCTGGGCCCTCAATTCCTGTGGGATGGCGCGTTCAGGCTCATGCTGGAGGCCGCCGGCAGCCGATCTCAGATGCTAGCGGGAAGGGAGCCTGGGGCGGGGCAGTGCTTGTGGTCCCACCGCCAGCTCCGAGAGTCGGCTCCCCCACTGAGAAGGCTTGGGCTGTATCTGGTTCTCTTGGAAGAAGGGGGACTGAGCCATCTGGTGCCCAGGGTGATATCAGGAAATGGCACCTCACCCCGTCCTCCTGGTTGAGGACCAGCCTCAGTGGGAGCTTCTGGCCTCCTGGGCGGCGGCCCTGCTGTGGGCCGGGGCAGGTGGTGCACCAGGGAGTCCTGCTGGGGCACCCGCCCCTGTGCACACCCGTGGCCTGGCTCCTTGCATGGCCTCGGCTCTGGGAGAATCAGCTGTCCTCTGGGCAGGAGCCCCGTGTCAGCAGAGTGGTGGGCTCGGACCGGACAGTCATGTGTCCTGAGCTTCCGGGCCTGACCCTTGACCCCGGCCCCTCTCACAGGTCACGGTCACCACCATCGGCTACGGTGACAAGGTGCCCCAGACGTGGGTCGGAAAGACCATCGCCTCCTGCTTCTCTGTGTTCGCCATCTCCTTCTTCGCGCTCCCAGCGGTAGGTGCTGTGTGGCGGGGCCGTGCACGCTCCCCCAGTGGGGCTCCCCCAAGCACAGGGCCCGCTCACCGAGGCGCCCCCGCCCTCCTGCCCCCAGAGCGTTCTTGGCAGTGGGTGTGGGCAAAGGTCAGTGGGGGCCTTCGGTAGCAGACAGTCGGGTACAGGCGTGGATTCACCCCGAGGGGATACGGGGAGGCCCCAGCAGCAGCCGCCCCGCGATGGCAGAGGCGGAATCTGCGTCTGCTGAGGCCCCAGCTGGGCCTTGACCCACGTCCTCCCCAGAAACTGTGAACCATGAGGGTGGCACCTTCTAGTTGCCCGTGTGGGCACATGTGTCCGTGTGTCCCTGTAGGGCGTGGGCGTATGTGACCCGTCACTCCCCACGGGCACGTGTCTGGATTCCGTGCACGTGCCGCACACATGGGTACGATTGGTCTCCGCGGTAGACGAGGGTCTCACTTCCCACCAAGCTGGTCCCGTCTATCCTATTGGCAGTCCCGGGCATGCAGCTGCAGACCCTCTCAGACGGGGCTACCTTCCGCCCAGGCTGGCAACCAGGCGCCTGCCCTGCGCCCCTGGCGCCTGCCGTGTCCCCCAGGCTGAGCCGGGCAATGGCTGCCCGAGTGGACATGAACCCCGGTCTCGCTGCTTCTCAGGGGATTCTTGGCTCCGGCTTCGCCCTGAAGGTGCAGCAGAAGCAGAGACAGAAGCACTTCAACAGGCAGATCCCAGCGGCAGCCTCGCTCATTCAGGTGAGAGCACCCGCCGTGGGTCCGCGCGGCCTCGCATCGGTGGGTCGACACCCACCAGTTATCAGCGTCCATTCTGAGATCCCAAAGCTGCTCTCAGCCGTGAAGCTCGGAGCGGATCCCTCCGGAGTCGAGATGCAGACTGTGGGGCCACGCCAGCTAGTGGGCCTCGGGAGCGCAGGGTGCCCAGCTCCCTCCCTACAAGGTCCTGCAGAGGGTCACATCCTTTCAGGGAGGGCCAGGGGGATGCACCCTGACCAGTTCCCGGGCAGGGGTCTTTCCATGGGCCTCTCCCCTCCCAGCCACAGAGGCCGGCCTTGGCGTCTTGTTCCTCTCAGCCTCCTTTGGTGGCCCCCCCTGCCCCCCCCACCCCCGCTCTGCCCTGGAGCAGGTCTGGGAGGGAAAAGGGAAGGGTCCCCATGTGGCCATCCCCCAGGGTGGCCGGGGCCCTGCTTGTGCAGTATGGGCAACTTCTGGGTGTCCACGGCACCCCATGGAGCTTGGACAGCCCTGTGATAGCAGGTGGGACTGGTAAGCCGATCGCATGGCCACACCCTGGGTTCCAGGGCCCTGCAGTGGCTGATCAGGGCCCCAGGGCTGCTGTGATGAGGCCTGGGGGCTGGAGAGACAGAGCCTAAGAGCAGCGGGGGAGGAGGAGGGGCCCTGAGCTCCTGAGCGCCCTGCCCCACCCTGTGAACCAGGACCCCTGGAACCCACCAGACAATGGCTGGTTCTTTTCATGCCAACAAAGACCAAAAACCATCTGAAAACCAGGTCCCAGAGGGTCTGGGGAGGGAAGAGTGGGGAGGAGCAGGCCCAGGGCCAGCCCGGGGAGTAGTTGAGGGGGATCCTGGGGCACAGGCGTGATCCGTGTCCAGCCGTGGGTGTGGGGCCCTCTGCCCAGTGGGGCAGCTGCGCCCAGGACTGAATGCCCCCTAGGGACGCCCTGGGGTCCCCCTGTGGCCTTGTCTCCTGTGCCCTGTGCGGCCCCGTGAGGGACGCTGGCCATCAGGCACTGCTCCGCCTGGGAGCCAGAGCTTAGCCCCAGGCTCCCCCGCGTGACTCTGAAGTCCTTCCGGAACCCGCCGTCTGGGGCCTGGACATGGACCTGGACGGGAAGGAAATAGCAGGGGCCATAAAGCTGAGGGGCTGGGCCCCCGCAGGCCCGGTTTTATGGCCCCACAGCCTTCTCCTTTCGGGGAGACCATAAATCAGGCCGTAAAACCAGCCCAGCCCGCTGTGGGCAGACTGCAGGCAGGAGGGGAGTGCGGTGGATTCCTCGTGGAGTCTGGTGCTTTGGGGGCGAGCCCCCTGCAAAGCCCACGCTCAGGCAGGGTGTTCAAGGGGCTGCACATCCCCGGGGAGGTGGGAACCGCAGTTCCTGGGCAGTACGCTCGTGGGCAGGACGCGTGCCCACCGCTTGGCAAAGTGGGCCTCGGAGGGGTCAGGCCTGTGTGGCCTTTCCCGTAGGTGGCATGAGGGCTGCCCTGTCTGCCCAGGTCCCCATCGTGGGGGGTGTCACGGCCACCTGGAACCTTGCCAGCCCTACTGCCAGTACAAGGACCCCAGGGTGCGTCCTCATCAGCGGCTCTCCAGAGGCTCTCCATGACTACAGATGGCACCAGGCCCCGGGACCCCGCATTTGGGCCTCTGGGAGGGGCCTTGCTCCTCCACCCCTCCTGCTGGGTGCCCACAGGCCTGGGTGTTCTGTTTCTGAGCCCGTCCCTGAACCTGCCGTGTGCACCCGCCGGCTGTGGCCCGAGAGGCAGCCGGCAGGTGTCTTTGCCTCTACGAAGGGATCAGGCTGGGGGAGGGGGTGGCAGGTGCGTTGGGGTCACAGATGAAGACCTGCGTGGCGTCCAAGCTGTGAGTCCCAGGCAGCGCATGAGGCCCTGGGAAGTGGGGGGCTGGCCTGCAGGCTGGGGTGCCGGCAGCTCCCACTGCAGGCCGTCAGGCGGTCGGGCCGCTGACCGCTTCTCCCTCCTACTGATCCAGACAGCGTGGAGGTGCTACGCGGCCGAGAACCCCGAGTCCTGCACCTGGAAGGTCTACGTCCGCAAGCCGGCTCGCAGCCATGCCCTGTTGTCCCCCAGCCCCAAGCCCAAGAAGTCTGTCATGGTAACAGCCCCTGCCTGCCCCCCGGACGGCATCCCTCGCTAATGGGCCGGGAGGTCTTGGGGCCACAGCTCCCAGCCAAGCTTTGACCCTGGGTTCAGCTGAGCTCTGTTAGAGGAGCCCCACCGCTCCGGGCCCGGGGTGGGGGTTGGGGAGCATGACCGGGTGCTGCCCTGCCGGGGTCCCCTGGCCCTAGGGATGTGTGGGATAGGGGCTACAAGGCCAGGGCTGTGGGGGCGCCTGAGAAGGAGCCCCAGGGCGCAGGACGGGCCGGGATCTGGTCTGTGGTGGCAGAGAAGGCTCTCGAGAGGGCCCTGGTGTCAGACTTTGTCTGCGAGGCATGGTGGGTGTCGGTCGGGAAGGAGGTGACATCCCAGCTTGGGGAAGAGGCCTGAGGTCGTGGTGCAGGGGGGCTGGGCAGGCCTCAGGCAAGGATGTCGTTTGTGGTTGTCTGCTGTGGTGAACGAGGTGTCCCTGCCCACACCTGGTGGGGATGCCCAGCTGTCCCCAGGGCCCCTGCACCCTCCCAGTCCCCCATCTCCTCACCATTGACCCCTCAGAGCAGCTCTGCCGGCCCCGGCCCGCCTGTCGGCCACCCTGGCACACACCGTCGCTCCTGGCAGCCTGCTGGCATGCGCGCCTGTGCGCTCTGGGGCGTTTACCTGTTTGCCGGCTTCTGGCCACCTGCCCCTCGGCCCAGGCCCCCCGCAGGACCCCAGCCTCTCCGCAGGGCCGTGGCCCCCCCGTCTGCATGCACCAGGCCAGTGCTTGGCCCTGAGGCCTGGCTCTCTGGCCGGTGCCCAGCGAGGACTGCCAAGGGGTTCTGGGGCTAGCGGACACCCAGGAACCGTTGGCTTATTGCTTGTCATTTTAGGTAAAGAGAAAGAAGTTCAAACTGGACAAGGACAATGGGCTGAATCCCGGAGAGAAGGTGCTCACGGTCCCCCACATCACGTGCGAGCCCGTCTCAGAGGACCGGAAGCCAGACCACTTCTCTGTGGACAGCTGTGACAACTCTGGTGAGAAGCCTTCGCCCTGGGTGGCGGCGTGGGGATGGGGATGGGCACTCGGCTCCTGTGGACCTGGCGTCTGCGCCATGACACCCTGCCCCCCACCCCCCAGCTCAAAGGCAGGTCCTTCTGAGGAGGCAGGACCCCACCCTGGAGGGCCCTTTCCTCTTGCTCTGTTCCATGCGCTGGGCTGGAGGGGCCGGCCCTGCCTCAGTCGTGATGTGTGGCTGGCGCCCCGAGGCTGGCAGGATGGAAGCGGCCATGTCGATCCCCCATTCCCGGTGGAGCGGGGACGGGACCTCCGGAGCCTACTCTGTGCACCCACCCTCGTCCCCTTCCTCAACACCGCGTGTCTTTGCTTTTCGGGCATTTCTGTGTCCATCTCTCCCTTCTGGGACCTCTTCCTGGCCCCCAGCGGAACATGCCCGCTTACTGGCTGCTGTAAGGACAGAGTCACAGTCTTGACTGTGGCAGAGAGGGACAAACTCATATTGGTCCTGAGGCTTTGGGCTGACGGGCGCCCGGCCCGCCAAGTGCTGGGCTCTCAGGCGGCGACCCCCTCATGCATCCCCCTGCGTGGGGTCCCAGTACCCTGGCAGCAGGGCGGAAAGCGCTCCAGAAAGGGGCCATGGCCACCCCCTGCGCCTCGGGGCTGCCTGTGGACCGGGCCAGGGCGCCCACCCCGCTGGGCACTGGGCCACCGCGGCCCCATCCCATGCAATCGGGATTCTGCTCTGGCCTGAATCTGGCCACTTCGCTGGTGAGCCCCCGGGATGTGCTCCCTGCCCGCCCCCCGGAGTGGGCACAAGGGACAATTGTGCCAACAAATGCCCGGGCCCCCCCAACTCCGGATCCAGGGGCAGGACCATTGTCGCGGTGCAGATGGGGGCTGTGCGCAAATGCTAATGGGCAGGTCGGGCGTGGGGAGCAGCATCTCTGCTGTTTGCTCAATGTGAGCCGCCACATTCAGACTGTTTGCTGGTATGAAGTGCCCAGGACGCCTGCAGAATGGTAATGAGGCACGAGAGCGGGGAAGCCAGGCTTCCTTTGTGGAATGCTTTTGCACGGAGGAGTTTTGCTTTCCTGCCGACACCATAAGTCAGCCCAGCCCGAGCCGCGGCGTTGCCAGAGCCTGAGCTGTTGGCCTGGCCCCCGGGGGCTCTGCGCGGCCCCCAGCCTGGGGGTGGTGGCTGAGGCTCTCCAGAGCCCTGGTGGGGGACAGGGGGCCTCATCCCGGGCAGATGCCGTCACCGGGAAGGGCCCTAGCCCCGGTCCCAGCACAGCAGGGCGCGAGCAGCCAGGCTAAATCCTCCCCTGCCCCAGCCAGAGCCACGCCTTGCACCCGAGCCTCGCCATGTGCACGATGTGGGTGCGCCGAGGGGCATGGGGGACAGGCGCCCTCCCCTTCCTGGCTCTGGCCTGCGCACGGCTCCCCACTTCTGTGGTTTCTTGAGCCCATGGAGTCTCTGGGCTTCTGTCCTGTGACACCTAGGGTCCTAGGAAGGGCGGTCCATCCACATTCATGGCCTCCAGAGCCTGGTCCGCACCCCTGTCGTTCCTGAGCAGGTCTTCCGTGTTCATGGCAAGGGCCCTAACTGGCCGCAGGAGGAACTCTGGTGGCGGCAGGCAGTGTGCACAGCAGGAGCCCTGCCCTCCGGGCTCCCATCCTTATACAGGTTCCAGCCCTCCCACCCCTGGCTGCTCACACCGTCCTGCTCACCAGGGTCTGTGGTCCGGAGCCCACCCCGTGCAGGGCCAGTGGGACGCCCCGGGATTGAGGGGCGTCAGGGCCTCCTTGGCATCTGGGGAGGAGGAAGGGCCCCAGCGAGGGCACTGAGCCTGTGGGCGTCGGGGGGACAGGTGCCGGGCCCAGCCTGCTCTGGCTCAAAGGCTTTTTGGAAGAGGTGGCATCAGTGCTGGGTCAAGCTGTCTGGGAGGGAGGGAAGGAGCAGTGGCTGGGATGGGGGAGGGGGTAGCCATGCCGCCGTGGCTCCGTGTGGTCGCCAGCCTGGGCATGCCGCGTGCTTTCCTCCTGCACCCTGGGAGCGAGCCCGCCTTCCCCATGGAGAGGCCTGCATGGGCTCCTGGCGTGCAGGTGTGGACATGATCCTCCCTTCCAAGACTGGAGCTGGGCCCCAGAGCCTGCAGATGCCGGACGGGCAGGTTCCCAAAGTCCTCAGAGCACTAGTGGTCATGGCCAGGTTTGTGTTCTCCAAGCCCCACCCAGGATGGCATGGATGGGGAGTGGACAGGACAAGCCAGTGGGCCAGGCCAGCACCAGCAGTGCCACGGTCCCTGTGGGGCTGGGGGTCAGAGGAACCAAAGCCAGTGGGAGGGGGTCTGCAGCCCCGGGCAGCGTGGGTGTGACTCCCAAGGGCAGAGCAGAGTGGAGACTCGGGGTACTGGGGAAAGGGAGGCCTCCCCTTCCATCGCACACTCGGCAGAGGCGAGCTGGTCCAGGGAGATGTGCTGAGGAGGCGCTGATGCAGAGCCCGGCCCGCGGCGGTCAGGGGTCTGCTTCTGCTTGCAGGTCATTTCCAGAAGAGCCTAATTCGTGGCGCGCCGTCGGCAGCCGGCACAGTGCCCCTGGCCGCACATGCCAGGCCTCCCCTCTCGCACTCCCCTCTGGGCAGCAAGGGTCAGATAGTGCCCTGCCCGCTGCCATCTACGGGCCTCCACCCCAGGTCCCACCCTGCTCCCCGACCCATGCTGCCATCCTCCGTGTTTGCGTTTCGCCTTTTTAAATTCTCTGCGTCGGTCGCTTGTGTGCCGTCGACCCCGGCTCGTGCTCGCCGGCAGGTTTGCTGGGTTTCTGCTTCGGACTTGGGGTTTAATGTCCTTCTTCCTGGAGGGCTTTCAGTGGTTCCTCCAGGGAGGTCTGCACGGTCAGCTCAGTTTTCATTTGTCTGAAATTGTCCTATTTTGCCTCTGCCGTTGGGTGGTGGTCTGTTGGGGAAGAGGTCGTGGGCTGAGGTACGGATGCCCCGGGGTCCGGTGTCCGGGTGTTGTCCAGCTCCTTAGTGCCGCTGTCACCCCCTGGGACTCTGGTGCTAGGTCGTGTCTCCACAGTGGAGCCGGGGCGGGTGCGGCAAGCTCTCTCCATCCCGCCGTCCGCTGTGATGCCTGAATCCGAGGGTTCGTGTCTTTCCCACGGTGTGCACATAAGCACCAAGGATCGCTGCCCTCGTGGCTCCGATCGGCCTGGGAACGTCGGCTCAGCATCTCAGTCTGTCTGCCTCAGCTGTCCCTCGTGTTTTCCGGCTCTGTCTCCCGGCCACCCCCTCGTGGCTTCTTTCCGGGTTGCTGGCTGTTCTGATGCGTCTGACCCACTGGGTAGTCCCCACTGAAGTTTCCAGTCCCGGGAGCTCCCGTCCTCCACGCCGGGGCGCCCTCGTGTGAGGGCTTACTCAGTCCTTGCAGCGGGTATCTCCCTCGGAGCTCACAGCGTCGCGTCAGTCAGTCACTTGAATGTGCTTATGTCATCACCTGTGTCGTGACGTCATCATCCGTGCTACAGCGTCGTCACCTATGCCATGATGTCATGATCTGCATCACCGGCCATCATCCTGGTCACGGCGTCCTTCTCCATGTCATGATGTCCTCATGTGCATCATGATGTCGTCATCCATGCCACGACGTCACTGTCCGCCGTCCTCGGAGGGTCTGTCTCTGTCAGCGGTGGCTTCTGCAGCGTTCCCACAGCGGCTCGTTCCCTGTGGTCTGTGGGGGTCTCTAGTGAGGGCTCCCTTGTGTCTTCTTGAGGGGACATTGCTCTGGAGACACGGTCCCCTGGACGGGGTAGCCCCGTGCGCCCCTCCAGACGTCTATGGGGCGGGGATTCCTGGACGCCACGCGCTGCAAACACGGGCCGCTGCCCCATGAGAACCCGCCCGTCCCCCCGTGGCGAGAGCTGACACTTCATCCGGCTCCACGAGCCCGGGCCGCCGCGAACTGGCTTTCTCTCTTCCCTGCGTGGGTTGGTTTCCACTTCCTTGTTTCTGTGGCTCGAGTCTGCTCGCTGCCGTTCGTCCGGCGTCTCTGTCCCCTGCTTCTGCCCCGTGCTGGTCGCAGGCCCGGCTCTTCCTCCGGGGCGCACCGCAGCTCCCCCGGTGAGGGGATGCCCGGGACTGCCAGTGTGCGGGGTCAGCGCTGTGGCTACTGGGGTCCTGGGGAACCCCAGCCGAGCCCGTAGAAGATGTTTGTCACTTCAGTGAGCTTTGTTGGGGAGTTTGTAGAGAGAGGGTTTTGATGGCATCAGTTTCTGGCTGGAAACAGAAGTCCTCATCTTGGGGACAGAGAGAGTGTCCCTGGCAGGGGAAGCCAGGAGCTCCCTGCTGGCAGAGGGCCGAGCCATGATGCTCCAGGCCGGAACCCCCCTGGGGCCCTCTCGAACCAGCAGGAGAATTTCAGAGGCTGTCCCAGGAGATTCTGAGTCACAGGGCCTGCGGGGAGCCAGGGGTGTGTCTGTAATGTGCCCCCCCACTTACTCTGGGGACTATCCCTGGGGACCCCGAGGACGAGGCCCAGCCCTGGCTGCAGGGGACCAGAGCAGGGGTTCTGTGACCCAACCTGGGCCCCCTCCTGGCGCCCGCAGCAGGGTCCGGGTCAGCCTTCCGTTACGAGAGCTCCCCGCAGAGAGAAAGCACAAAGGAGCTCGCTCCGTGTGTACGACTGTCAACACATAACGCCAGCTAGGATGCTGCACCAAGACGGGATGCTTTCCCCCGAGATCGGGGGCATGACAAGGACAAGGGCACACAGCTCTTGTCACCCCCGGCCCACATGAACCTGGAGGTTCTGGCCGGTGGAACGGTCAAGAGAAAGACATCGCCGACGTCCGGGCTGGAAAAGAAGAGGTGAAGCCCTCTCCGTGTGCGGGCGGCACGGTTCTCGGTGTGGAACCCTGGTGCGTGGGCAAGATGACCACGGAGCGAGTGCGTGAGCAGAGGCAGGTCACAGGCAAGCATCAGTTCTACCGCGGCGTTCTGCCGGCACATAATCTGAAGTGG